CAGTGACAGCCAGCACTCCCAGTGACAGCCAGCACTGCAAGTGACAGCCGGTGGGCCACGGGCTGTGTAGTAGATTCTTGCAATATCTAACGTTAATCACAATACATTTACTCATACGTTCATGTACATCTGTTCACACTTCTAATCAATACTACAAATAGGCAGATAGATTGCAATTAAAAATAAGCTTATTAAAATCCATTATTAGAGCGAGAGAGAGAGAGAGAGAGAGAGAGCAGAAAACATCACCTCAAGTGGCCACAAACCTAAATAAGCACTCTCATAATCTACACCAGGGCCGTACGCGTCAGCTAAGTTGCTTCTCTCATAACCCATTATATTTTAATTTTCTGTCTTCAGATTTAATGGAATAGGGAACTTAAAATAAAAACACCATCAAAAGCTGCACTTTTTATACCTCATTGCCGGAGCACTTAACTTATCAGGGAAAATGTCTCGAATTTCTGAATGATAATGAAATAATGAAATTGTTGATTCTGTAGGAGCAAATATGGTCTTGTATTTGGACCTCGAGGTTATGGCGGAGGAAGACTTGCTATGGAAAATATTTACTTTCAGCACAGTATATTTGTGGTACCAAGGGGCATATTTCCAAGCTGGGCATTCTGTGCAAATAAATTCCTAATACATGGTCATATTCGCTTCCAGCAGTTGACATTTTCACACATGTAAACTTGGATACTTACATTCATCTTGCTCTAAAAATATCTGTTACCTCAGAATACATATACCGCCCCTTTTTTGGGTAGACCATGTACTTAGTTCTTATTTGTAGATGAGTTCGTTTTCAAGGGACTGGTGTACTTCTCTGAGTTATTCAATGTATAACTTAACAGAATGGAAATTAGTCGACCGAAGAAAGAATAATTTTGAAATAAAGCGTAATAACACAAGAGGTAAAAGGACATTTGCAGAAGGATCGAATACGCCCTCCTATAAAGAAGAGATGCAGGGAGCAAAGTGGGCGGGGTCAGGGTTCGCAGAGATTGCTGAGGATTCTTTCATTGATATTCCAGGTTGGAATAATAAGTATTCAGTATTATTAATATAATGATGTGTTTGGGTGCTAACTGCCTGTCGCTTATTGCGACATAAGGTTATCGTGTAACTGTTTGCTTCCGCTATTGTTAACACTCTATCAAACTCACTCGATCGTGCGCTCTCTCTCTCTCTCTCTCACACACACACACACGCACGCACAGAGAGAGAGAGAGAGAGAGAGAGAGAGAGAGAGAGAGAGAGAGAGAGAAAAATTAAATGATTGCATAATGTTTGCTTTGAATAGCTAATTCCAAAAATTTCTCCGTTGGAACTAACTCCACAAATCGGCTGACAAGTTGCCGTTATCTAAAGCCAAAAAAAAAAACGTGTTACTAATCTTACGAATACAGTAAAAATTCAATATTTCATAATGACATAAATGTGGAAATCCAAAGCGGAAGTAGAAGACTGAAGGAAGATTGGTACACAATAACCATCATCAGTAGTGAGTCACATGAAACCAATCAAATTCTGCAGTTTCTCTGGGGCCGTCTTTTTTACGCTCAACGTTATGTTGCTAATCATCAAATGTGATTGTCAACACCTGAAATATAATGGCGTGTAGTAACTCGGTATAATCTCTGTGTCAGAAATAATTTAGATGATCCGTCCAAAAAGGCTCTTATATAAATTTTGAATGATACTGGGTGCACCATTCAGCCTCCATCAAGATGACTAAGATGACGTGTGTTGAATAAAACAAAATTTAGCGAGATTAATAACATGTAACACCAGTCAAGGCATTTCTGCTGTTAATTTAGTATACCGGCGTGGTGGAGCACGTGTGGGGAAATTTGTAGCCGGCGCACTGACTGTGAACCGCCCGCGTTTGTAATTTATTACGCCACAAAATCATTTCCGATAGGCAACAGAATTAAAAGCCTTGTAATCCCATATATAATCCATCAAAATCATTGGTGTTAGTGCGTACATGTGAGCTCAACGCCACCCAGAGATAATGTTGTGTTCGATTTGATAAGGAATTTATGATGCTGTAGAAAGCGAAGAAAAAAGAGCATTTTTGCTCTGTTTGATAATTAACTTTACATTTAAGTGGAAGAGGGAGTCGGCAGGATTCCAGCCCCCTGAACAGACAATTGATCACCAAGGTTTAACCAATGCAATAGAAAGTAAATGTAAACAAATATGCAATTATTAAAGGTGGGATAGAATTAATGGAAACATATAGGGCTCTGTCTCCAGTCATCCGATCTCGTTAAATTAATTATAATTTAAAGGCAGCTGTTTGAAACGATGTTAACAAACTATTTTTACAGCTTACAGTAGGTGTCAGTTCTTTTCATTTGGAAGTGTTATCTTTGATTTGATTATTAATTCTAGTTTAAAGAGTTTACTGTGAATAACTGGGCATCACTTGTACCTTATACTTTTACCAAGCATTTTCAGGCCTACCCAACTACCAGACTCGATCCTGAATTCACCTGTAGATCGGTCCTCACAACTATACCCATTTTCAAGGTGTGTATCATATATCAGTATGCGCTTCGAAGTATCAGACGTGGCACCTCTCTTGCCTAGTACGCGATGTGATAGTGATGATTTTCAGCGGGGTTTGAAAGTAGTACATCTCATCTCAAAATTTGTTTCCGGGTATGGTACTGTGACATGCGTACTGACGCACACCCTGAAAACGGGTAGTGTGGTCCGATCTACCGGTGAATTCGGGATCATTCGGTGCCGAGTCTGGTAGTTGGGTAGGCCTGATATTAAGGGCATGAATTAGAATCTCACCACCATAGCGGAGTACGAAACGCCTGTTTTTGTGTCGAGGTGACGGAAGTGGGAGGAGAAGCGGAGCAATTCTCTTCTTGTACTTTCCATTATCATTTGTAGTTTCAAACTGCTGAAGTCACTACTGGTCTTGATGGAGTTTGAATGCATTGTGAATTATTTTACAGTATTTACTTGAAGCCAACAGCTTCCAATTGATGTTTACCCAAAATGCACGTTTTGTTTGGAGAGGGAAATAAATAAAATGGGGCCGAAGAAAGTAACTAAATGGAAATATAGTAATATAGTCTATATTCCGTTTCTTTTGAAGTGAATTCCTTGATATATGAGGGGAAACAGTGTGTTGTTGTCAGTACAATGGGCTGGTAACTCGTGGAAAGAGATGGAAAGCGTATCCTATCTTCTGTACAGCTTTGAAGATGTCATGCTCATCCATTACCAGAAAAACAGCACGCGAAATTATCATTGATCACAAACCAATGTAATTCTGACACAACCGCCTACACACCGAACAGCCATGCAGCTGACAACAGTGAGGTAATTACAAACTGTTCCGTCTTGGGAGCAGGTACAGGTGGAGCCCATTGCCAACAATGGCGGCACTTCAGCAACCCGGTACAGAGTTGTTTATTACCGTGAGATATGGAGTAATCAACGTGACGCAGTCTGGCAACCGATGAAACCGTCGTTTTGTAAGTTGTTTTATACCTCTGACAGTGTAATGATATGTACACCACATTTGACGCTCATCTTATCATGTTTATATGCAGTTCTAATGGCTTATATTGCCACATTATACCCGATATTTACACCATATCCAGTACTATTTCACCAAGATGTAAGCTTTGCAATATTTTAATAATAATGATAATTGTTATTCTTATTCTACACAACTGCTCCAGGAATTCAGGTATGAGAATCTTTAGGTGCTCTTTATGGTATGCTAATCACCACGCTGTGATTTAATTACTATTTGTCATCTGGCCTAGTTGTAAAAATAAAATACACCAGTGTAAAAGATTCGACGAGTTTTTGTTATTAAACGTTTTTTGTTTTTTACAGCTTGAAAAGCATGCTTTCATGTTAAAACATTTAATGTAATTATCACAACCACCTTAAAGGCTATCGCGCTTTTCATGGATTTTAAATTTTGATCTCCAGCTATTACTAAGAGGAATATTCCTCGAAATACAATTGTTTACACATCATGTCCCAGCAGAACAGGAGCAGCAGACCTCAGTCTTATGAAGAACCCCGCATTAGAGATGCCTTTTAAGCGAGTAGACGTCAAATTATTACCATTAACTTGACAAAATGCTGCCATATTTAGTCAGTGAGTATTACGTGAAGAAATACCACATGGCTTCGTTTCATCATGTCCTTTCGGTTCATTACGAATTGGAGGGATGGACAAGTAAGTGGTATCTACTATCAGAACATTGAAAAGGCTCTTTTTCAGCTGACAGTGATTAAACTTAGCCATTATCGGCGCGTGATTTCGAGCTGTGTGGGAACTGGTAGCTGATTATACATCAGTGAGGTACAGCACTGCATTGGAAACTGTGCATCTCAAGTAAAGCTTTATCAAGATGAAAATACTTCACGTGAAATATCTACTTCACGTCGAAATTCAAATGCTCATAAAGATATTTACTACATCATAATTTCCAATTCCTGTCTTAGGGTTAAAGATGGTACGAAAAATGACAATCATCGCCGTAGGGCAATTTCTTCAAAAGTAATAAAACCACTGAAATTCAATACCTACTCATCAAAGCCGTTATTGTACTCAATTATTCCACTCTTAGGGATCTGACGAAATTCCCGTCCTTTTCGAAGATAAATATAGTTAACGGATCTGTTTTGATATTATAATTTGAAATTTTGAAAGAAAATTCTTTAAATTTTGATAAAATAATTGAATTCGGTGTTCAATAAATTTTTCCCCATGAAATGAGTATAAAACATCCGTTCACCATTCATTCCCACCACTGCGTCCACATCAGTTTCACTGAGATGATTCATTATCAATAATTTACAGTGATTTTCTCCCGATTCCTCACGTAGCTCAAGTATACTGCCAATTCTTCAAACGATGAGACGGCACTTTGACGTAATATAAAAGTTGTCAGCGGCACCATTCGGGGGCAGATGTGAGTTTGACAGAGGTGAGCAGGCCAGGCTGGCTGGCACGCAGAGACTGCAGACCGTCACATCCAGTATTTTAAGGGGATAACAGGTTTCAAAAACATGTTACCAAAACTCGCATATAACAGGCACAACTGCAGTTCCATCTACCACCAGTTTTGTCCTTGATACTTTAAAAAGAATCAAATCACAGCAAGTTTGATATACAACTTGATAGAAAATGACAACTCAGTTTAACAAAGAAAATAACACATTTTCCTTTTCCTCTGCAGCTTACGTTTACTGTTCCTAGTGTAACATGAAGGTCACATTTACATTGTATATCCCCAATCTTACAGACTATATGAACATTCCACATGCACGATGCTTACAATTCTATGCACGTGAAGGTATATCAATACTAGAAGGAATATTTTTATCTCATATATATATATACACAATAGTGAACATTTAATTGTCTATTCCACTGATTTATTAAGCCTTGTAGGCTTTCCTAAATTACACCACTATTTATACGCCTCTAAACATTGCATGCCTTCATTTCGCTCCATACTGGGTTGAGAACAAATTCAACATGGCTCTTTCCATGCAATAACCTCACTCTCACTGTTCATTTCAAGTGCTATATTACGCGAGATCGAGTTCTCTTAATTAAATGGGACATTTTCCAAACATCTTACAGGTACACACCGGGTCTCATGGAGCATTTTCCTTTACAATAACCCCGACTTCTTACGATGTCAACACTTCAACAACACGGCTAGGATTTCCCGTTAAATGCCACTTCAAATGACTTAGGATTTCTTTCCTTCAAGTCTCTTCCTTCATATGTGTACAGTTTATTATATCATACACTTATGACTCACTTCCAACTTTGATATTTAAGCAACTATAAAACCTTGTTCTGTGAGGCTGTCAATGGGCACGGAGCAATTCATCTGCTACATAAACACAACAAATATGATAATTTGTGTGCAGCACTAGGTAAAATAGTTTGTGAGATTTTCATTACCACTGTCATCATTATTATAACCAACAACATAGAGTAAGATGCCAAGTGTTCTGTTAATTTATAAAAGTGTCAGTCTTGGTGGCTGGCGCTGTAAAGGGCACTGGGGTGGGGGAGATCCCGTCTAGTCGTCGTCCAGCATAATGACATCCTTTTTCCTTCCCTCACTCCCTCCCTCCGTCTTCTTGCTGGACAGGTCCTCTGCTTGGCCACTGGAGGCTGAAAGTAAACATTAAAAACAACTGTAATCAACACAGTCAATACACCAATCACTGAGACTAAGTGGGCAACGCTTTCAGAGTCCAACGTGCACGTGACCTCCATATGACCACTGTTAGCACATTATAGTGTGAGGCTGGGACAACTATATCAACTTTTTATGTCCAAACATAGTGTTACCTATGGGTGGATGGGGGGGGGGGAGCGCAAAATGACCATATTTACATATTCAACAATTGTAACTTGATCCTTCTGAAAGAGTGAATGATTTTTACATCATAATGCAAACCTTATGGCAGGGTGTAGAACTTTAAGAATAAAAATTGTACATTAAGTGTGACATCAGTATATCTTTTAAATATTAACAAATCTAAAGACCTTTCAGTGTAAATGCAGTAAAGCACAATCAAGCAGTTTTTGATCAGGAAATGGTGAGAGAATAGGCAGCAAGATGTGATTTGATCATATCAACAAAAAACAAAGAGAACCACAAACAGGCAGTGGAACAGGTCACAGTTGCTAGTTCACTAAGCTGTCCACAGCATTAAGACACCAGACTGATGTGCAGCAGTACTTCTCCACTCAACCCAGCCACTTCTTACACAGTCAAACCTTGGGTTAGGATCTAAACTAATAGGAGGATGAGAAAATAGGATGAGAAAATAAATTAAACAAACAAATAAGGGATAAATGTAAAGAAGATGACAAGGCTTGCGTGCTAGTTAAAATAAAAACAATCTACAGATGACTATGAGGACGATGTAGCATCAGCATGATCAGAGATGATGGCGTTATTTACAGTTCCTTTTTGACTGCAGAGAGCAATGAGAGGACAATTAGCAATAGAATACACACATTAACATTCCACCCTTTTGCTAAAATCATTTCCTGACATAGCACCTGCTATATGTTATCTGCTATATGTTATGTTTGGAGCCGTGTGGAAATTCCAATATGGAACTGGACGAGAAACACTGCATTAAACTAATCCAAGCAGTTAGTCCAAACCAACCAAACACAGCAGTGCCACATTATACTACTGATAGGTATTTCAGAATAACTACTCTACTTGGAATTCAAAACAAAACTGATTTACTTATTTATTACTATTATTATTATTATTATTATTTTGTCTCTTAGTCTTTAAGAAGACATGTCCCCTAGTATCTACATTTCTTTAAATGAACACAAAAGAGAATTTTGGCACAAAATTCACATTTAACAAATTATCACGGGGTAAAAGGGATTTTCCCTAGATTTACCAACCTGTAATCTGACTTTCCTGACACTAGCCATAACTATGTAACAATTTTGGAAAAAGCCAAAGATCAAAGCCCACATATAAGCTGAGATTTTTCTTTTTTGCCATTCTTTTCCACTGACTAGATTTCCAGATATCGCGAGACTCTCGTAAATCACCCTTCTTTCAAACTGTGTCAAGATGGCTGACTACCTAAGCTGGACAGGGAATGGTGAATATGACAAATTTTTTGTGATATTTATTAAGGCCATTTATCTGTCATTTATGTTTTAAAAGTTTTAATTGTCCTGAAAAATTTCAACAAGAAGCAATCCATGCACTTAGAATGTGTTTAAAATCCTACATTATGTGTCTGTGAAGACCATCTGTATGCCAGAGAGTGTACCTGACTGTGAGATAACTGATCTCCAGAGGTGTGCAGTTTACAACAGCTGGCACGAGACAAGACGCCACAGAAACAACTAGTGTTATCATAACATAGTACCAGTGGCACTGGCTGGCCGACCCTCTGCATCCATCCAGGGCCGCACTATACTGCCTCCACTAGCACCAGACTTGGCCCCCCCACAGGCAGAGCTGGTGCCCAAATCCTGCCCTAGTGCCCAAAAACTGTAAGCTGCCGCCCCAGGGAAGGGGGCATGTAAGCATTCCTCTAAGCTCATTTGATGGTGACGCGAATCGTTGAAATTAGGAGAGGAAAAGGCAGATGCGTCAGGTGCGTAATTATCAGGGCCTGGCTCTGATGCTGCCTGTGAGGCTACACTTCCCATTGCCAGAGTGAGCAAAGCAAAATGTGAACAAAAGCAGAAGTCTTAATGTGTGATAAAACAGGAAAACACAGTTATCAGTAAAATATATATCATTAGCAATAAAATAACCATAAGTGAAAAAAGGTATTAAAACGACTAAAACAAAACAAAAAAAAAAGAGTTTAACTGAACATACTAATTTAGATTTTTTCAAACTACATCACAAGCTTAACATATCATACACACAGTAGACACATATAACCATAACATATCATACACACAGTAGAGATACATCTAACCATAACATATCTTACACACAGCAGACACATATAACCATAACATATCATACACACAGTAGAGACATCTATAACTATAACATATCTTACACACAGTAGAGACACATATAACTATAACATATCATACACACAGTAGAGACACATATAACTATAACATATCATACACACAGTAGAGACACATAACTATAACATATCATACACACAGTTGAGACACATATAACTATAACATATCATACACACAGTAGACACATATAACTATAACATATCATACACACAGTTGAGACACATATAACTATAACATATCATACACAATAGACACATATAACTATAACATATCATATACACAGTAGACACATATAACTATAACATATCATACACACAGTTGAGACACATATAACTATAACATATCATATACACAGTAGAGACACATAACTATAACATATCATACACACAATAGACACATATCACTATAACATATCATACACACAGTAGACACATATAACTATAACACATCATACACACAGTCGAAACACATATAACTATAACATATCATACACATAGAGACACATATAACTATAACATATCATACACACAATAGACACATATCACTATAACATATCATATACACAGTAGACATATAACTATAACATATCATATACACAGTAGAGACATATAACTATAACATATCATACACACAGTAGACACATATAACTATAACATATCATATACACAATAGAGACACATATAACTATAACATATCATACACACAGTAGACACATAACTATAACATATCATACACAATAGACACATATAACTATAACATATCATATACACAGTAGAGACACATATAACCATAATATATCATACACACAATAGACACATATAGTCATATCATATCATACACACAGTAGAGACACATAAAACCATAACATATCATACACACAGTAGACACATATAACAATAACATATCATCCACACAGTAGAGACATATCACTATAACATATCATATACACAGTAGAGACACATATAACTATAACATATCATACACACAATAAATACATATAACTATAACATATCATACACACAGTAGAGACACATATAACTATAACATATCATACACACAATAGACACATATGACTATAACATATCATACACACAATAGACACATATAACTATAACATATCATACACACAATAGACACATATAACTATAACATATCATACACACAGTAGAGACACATATAACTATAACATATCATACACACAATAGAGACACATATAACTATAACATATCATACACACAGTAGAGACACATATAAATATAACATATCATACACACAGTAGACACATATAACTATAACATATCATATACACAGTAGAGACACATATAACCATAACATATCATACACACAATAGACACATATAACTATAACATATCATACACACAATAGACACATATAACTATAACATATCATATACACAGTAGAGACACATATAACCATAATATATCATACACACAATAGACACATATAGTCATATCATATCATACACACAGTAGAGACACATAAAACCATAACATATCATACACACAGTAGACACATATAACAATAACATATCATACACACAGTAGACACATATGACTATAACATATCATACACCCAGTAGACACATATAACTATAACATATCATCCACACAGTAGACACATATAACTATAACATATCATACACACAGTAGAGACACATATAACCATTACATATCATACACACAGTAGACACATAACCATAACATATCATATCATACACACAGTAGAGAAACATATAACTATAACATATCATACACACAGTACACACATAACCATAACATATCATACCATACACACAGTAGAGAAACATATAACTATAACATATCATACACACAGTAGAGACACATATAACCATTACATATCATACACACAGTAGAGACACATATAACTATAACATATCATACACACAATAGACACATATGACTATAACATATCATACACACATAAGACACATATAACTATAACATATCATCCACACAGTAGACACATATAACTATAACATATCATACACACAGTAGAGACACATATAACCATTACATATCATACACACAGTAGACACATAACCATAACATATCATATCATACACACAGTAGAGAAACATATAACTATAACATATCATACACACACAGTAGACACATAACCATAACATATCATACCATACACACAGTAGAGAAACATATAACTATAACATATCATACACACAGTAGACACATATAACCATAACATATCATACACACAGTAGAGACACATATAACTATAACATATCATACACACAGTAGAGACACATAACTATAACATATCATACACACAGTTGAGACACATATAACTATAACATATCATACACACAGTAGAGACACATATAACCATAACAAATCTTATATTTCACACAAAAGAGACATATATAAACATAACATATTGAGGAACAAAAGCTGTTTAAACCAACTCCCCCCCCCCCCCCCCCACACACACACTAAGGTGTGTATATATACAGTAGTCAGTCCCCCTGTATATGGCTCCAATGTGGTGTTGATCTGGGCGGTAGTGTCTGTGCACATGAATGTGTTAGATTGATGAGCATCTGGTCAATCCACAGTGTGTGCATTATTAATGCAGCAGTTTAGCTGATCCCACCACCACCTACCAGACCTTTAGATGCTATTGTGTGTGTGCGGGCGGGCCTGCATGCATGTGTGTGTTTCACATTCTTTTGTGAGTGTCAGTGTGTTCATGCCGTACCTGTGGCTGGGGTGGTCGTCTTGTGTGCCGGGGGTAGTGTGGTCGTCTGTTTTCCTACTGCAGCCACTGGGCTGGCCTGGGGCAGCTGACCTATAAACACACAATACTCTTGTTAACTCAATACACTAACATAATGCCAACACAGATAGCATTATACAAAATAAGTGATAAATATTTAGTTTACCTAGAATATGTCTATCTTAGAGAAAATTGTTGTCTTATATACTTAGTTGCTACACTAAAGTTAATCCCTGTATTGCAATTCAGCCAAAAAATCAGAATTGGCATACAGAAAATAGAAAGTTGAAACATGGTGTAACTGCCTTTAATGCAAACTTATACCAGAGATATGTACTCCTATATGTCAGTAAGTGAAAATTGTTTTTGCTCACTTTTACCGTTTTCAACAAACACATATATTCTGTAACTATTTTACATCCATTGAACATGACTTCTTAACAAGAAAAACATCATGGCTAATCCATTCTTTACCATATTTATCTTACTTAATGATAAGAAAAAAATTATTTTTTGGCTGCATGCTTACTCTTAAACGAAAACCTTCATATATTTATAATTTCAAAGAATTGTGCATCAGAAATAAATCCTAGTCCCAATTAACTCCCTCACAACCATAATAAAGCAAAATGTGTAATGACTGTCCATTAAATTAGCAAACCACATTGTTAAGTATTATATAGTATTCTTATAAGACAATAAAAACAATTATTTATGAATAAAAAAACAACAATTAATCAATTATCATGTACATTCTTTTGACAAACTACAACCAACAGTTATATCAGGAAAAAAGAAAGGAAGCAAAATGAGAAAAAAAAACAGTATCAGTTGTTAAAGATTGTATAAAGCAGACTAGAACACCACAATATAGATCATCCTTGACATAGCAAGTGCTGATCTCACTACAGTAGCCATGGACAGTGAATTGTATCATAGCAACACAGACTTGTTTCCTGGCAACACACAGACTTGACAGAGGACACTGGTCCACAGTACATCAAATTGACTGTTCTCCAGTCAGCAAACATACACTGCTGTCATGCACATGAATTACTCCTCAAGCTGAGCTGTTTATAACCTGTCATTCCACAGAAGAAAGTGTGTCAGCTGTTTAGACTAAACGAAGTGCCTACCACTACCTCAGCAGACTTTGGGATAAAGGTAAGCCCCACAGGTGGCTCATAAAATAAAGGTAAGCCCTACAGGTGCCACGTGGGATAAAGGTAAGCCCCACAGGTGCAACATGGGATAAAGTTAAGCCCACATGTGAAACATGGGATCAAGGTAAGCCCCACAAGAGCAAGATGGGATCAAGGTAAACCCAACATGTGCCACATGGGATCAAGGTAAATCCAACATGTGCAACATGGGATCAAGGTAAGCCCCACAGGTGCAACATGGGATCGAGGTAAACCCAACATGTGCAACATGGGATCAAGGTAAGCCCCACAGGTACCACATGGGATCAAGGTAAGCCCCACATGTGCAACATGGGTTAAAGGTAAGCCCAACATGTGCCACATGGGATAAAGGTATATTCCACAAAGGGAGCCATCATAACCACATGGTCTGCTGAGATACTAGGTACTAAGTTAAACAGTCATAACAAGGCTGGAAATGTGCCTATAACATACATCAAGGTGCAGTACACAAGCATAAGTGTGCTCAGACATCTTGTCCAGAACTGTGGTCTTGCCATTTTATTTGATATCAGCCTTTTCAATAAATTTTTGTTGTTAACTCTTTTCTTTCATATTTTCTGTGGCCAAAGTAAACTACTATCACCTCTAGGCACCATGTTGATGCCAGAGGTGTGTGTGTGTGTGTGTGTGTGTGTGTGTGTGTGTGTGTGTGCAGGAATATCTCCCAGAATTCAAGAAATCCCATGAAGAATCACTACCTTGTCTATACCAGCATGTGTTCTAATTGATGGCACAATACCTAGCAGCCACCATCTATCTCTACAGTGCAGATAAGACTCTCCTTTCTTTTTGGTCATGTAGATATGTGCTAAGCCAGTTACTGTACTGTCTCTACATGGTATTCAACTGTTATCCTTAGTATATGTGTTAGACAATGGGGGCATGTTTCATTATAGTACACGTTTTTGGCAAAAGGCATGCTTATAACATGCAGTGGTAAAATATACATGTATGTAAGCATATTTATTTAAAAACTATTAATGTATTCAGAAATTTTAGGAAAGGGCAAAGCATTTGGCCAAGGTTACCAGCTGACTGGAATGGTAGACAATTCCTAAATCAGTATAAAAGATGTGCAAATGGAAGAGTATTGCACAGCATCAGTAACAGTTCTTTGTGTAATTGTGCAGTGATAATAAGGAGCATTTTGCTTTGTAAATGGCACATACCTTGCCTAAATTAGAGGTGCTAGCAATTTATTGTATTGTTTAATTTATGAAAAGCCCTTACATCTAAAAACTACATAGAAGAAACCATAAACAGTTGCACTATATTTTAATACTAAGTACCAAAATGAATAAGCAAGTTATGATACTGGTTAAATAACATACAGACATGAGTAAAGGTAGTGAATGGAGAGAATTTAAAATGAAAGGAGAAAAGAAAATCTCCTTAGTCTTACATACAGATCTACAGAAATCTTAACATTTATTTGCATTTGTGTCACTTTTTTGACCCCACTTTTTAAAAACCAGTGCTTAACAATGTGGTTTGCAAGAGAGAAGAAAAAAGAACCTAACTGTGTACTGATTATTTAACCTACAGACTGCACTGTGACATTTCTTTAATATATGCTGTCTAACACTCTGGTGTTTTCTTATATTTTGTATACTGCTTTAACTTATTGGTTCACCATTCATTGAAGAGAGAGAGGGAGAAAGAAAGAGAGGATGGCAGAGAAGATAAAACCTCAAAAACACCATAAATTTAAGTTTTAAAAAGAACCATGCACAGGTCAATAAAAATATTACTAATTGGTGAACATGAAAAACATTTACATGAAATCTTGATACAAATATGTTCAATGATGATTATTCATAAGCACAAAAACTGAAATCAATGTAAATGAATACATGGGCCTCAGCTAAAGTTCATTTCCTTTCTCAGACAAATGACAACATGCAACCATGCAAGACAGAGAAACAAATGCAATGATATCAAGAGACCACGACTGTAACCATGCAAATAAGTGTCCAAATTTTACATACATGGTAAAAAATCTGAAAAGGAAAAGAAAGCTGAAATTAGAGAAATATGGTAAAATATAGGAATGCAAAGGCAAAGTGGAAGTTAGTTACAAAAATTGCGCATTAATGTCTTGGACCATGCTGGTTTGTTTTGCTGTTAGTCAATCAGGTGTTCTGCCCAGTGCAGATTACGTTTGGACCTAAAGGAAAGGTACAGTCCTACCGCAGGCAGTACACACAGGGAGCCAGTTAATGAGAGGGCAACACAGGCCAGCTTTGTCTAATAAACCAGTTTCACATCAAAATATAATTACATTTATCTTTCTATTCCTCTTTGTTTTCAGCTATTATGAATTTTGTAGATGGATATCACTTTTCAGGATATGTCAAAAATATTCAATAACAATTTTGCTTAAACTTTACAAAATGTGACTTATCAGTGCTTGCCAAGACTAGCTGAAATAGTCAACATGCTGAAGTTTGACATGATCACATGATTTCGGTGGTTGTCAATATTGCAAAACATTTACAGGTTTATATTATCACAATAAAACACCTTAATTAATAGCATCAGGTTTGATAATTCCAAAATAATTCTAATACCAATTCCACCAGTTTTAACAATATGCTGGTTAAATCAGCTAATATTAACAATGTAACATTTTACCATAATAAATAAGTGGTAACAGTAGTATCACAATAATATAAGGTAATTTGACGTTGTCTCCTTGTAACGTACCTATCATCGCCATGGTAGTACTTGATTACATGACAAAACCCAATGTGATAATACTACATCTTACCATGATAATGATTGATGAAACAACAATATTTGTTATTAAAGTGAAAATACTCAATAAAACTGCAGTAATAATATGATGCTATTACTCCATAACAGCCAGATACTAGGACATGATATAATATGGCACACAAGCTACAGTGAATACAAGCATGCTGCATGCTGTTCTATCTGACCTGTAGGGACTGGTCCAAACCCAGGAGGAAACCCAAGGCCTAGGCAAGAAATAGTACAGCATCAGTGATCACTTCCTTACAGCCTAACACAAAATGTGCAGGAGAACCCCTGCCATGAGGCCAGGGTGCAGGAGAACCCCTGCCATGAGGACAGGGTGCAGGGGAACCCCTGCCATGAGGACAGGGTGCAGGAAAACCCCTGCCATGAGGACAGGGTGCAGAGAGACAGCAGGTCAGTGATTTGACCACTCATCAAGTATGGTCTGCTGTGTCCAGACCAGGGCTAGCTGTACCTGCCACACCTGACCAGTAGCAGTCTCCACTGCACCCTGCAAGCCCTTTCACATGTCTTCACAATGGAGTCTGGACTTATCTCTATTGACATGTTTAGACATGGAACTCTTATCTCTTGTGACAGAAACCAATGTCTTGACATAGATTCTTAATTTTCTAAGTCTTGGCCAGGCCGAAGTAAGATTTTGTCTTAAATATTAGCTTTAAGATAAATATAACCAATCTAATTGCTTAGGATATCTGAAACCACTTAAAAATACTGTTCTCTAGCATAACCAATACTGACTTTTCTATTAAAACCTCATTTACACAAAGTATGAGTTTACTAGATAAATAACAGAATGTAAAACAAGCAAAAATAAGGACAGATTTATAAAAAACAAATAAATAAAAAAAATATGGAAATGTGCACTCAGTTAAAATCTTTATAAAAGAAAGATTCTGACTCAGTATTCCCTGGGGTCACTGACCTTGAGGTGGAAATCCTACAGGGGGCATCCCAAAGGGGGGTCTCACTCCCATTGGGGGAAACCCTGGGGGGAGAGCACTGAATGGATTCTGTGGCAAGCCTGCCATCTGTTGTCCACTAGGTGGTGCTGGTGATGGCTGTGCCGAGGGCGTGGGTGTGCTGGAGGGGGTATGTGATGGCGTCCCTGACGCTGATGGCTGGGCAGACCCCTGGCCGGGGTTCACAAGACGGTTCAGAATGTTGCGTTCAGACATCTGAAGGCGCTGTGTCACTGGGGGAATGCGTGAAAGAGTTGAAGGCAGACGACTGACATCTTGCTTCATGTCACTAAGGAGTTCCTCCAGTTGGTTGAGGACTAGAAATGAAAGATAAAAATATCTTATATGCTTTATGCTTTATACTTGTTACATGAATAATGACATTGTACAGAGATAAAAAATAGTTAGATCAGACTGAACTGGTGAAAATGTGCTGAGATACATAGTAATAATACAAAAAGAAAAAAATAAACATTTACACAAATAAAAAGAAATAAAATTGTATATATAGATATAGATATGCATCATCATTACACATACACATCCAGTATTTTATAATCATAAACTATGTGCAATCCTAAAGCCAGGTCAACTACTCACAGCACTGATCATACACTGGCATCATACTTTAAGTATACATGACAAAGGTATAAAAATTAAATATGCATGAGCCCGTTTTCTACTATATGAAATGAACTTTGATATTTCCAGTTATTTTTTATAATCACAGACACTACTTAGTGGAAGATGCAGCACAGTTTCTTTTCTCAGAGGCAAGTTTAAGTAATTTGGCCAAAGATGTTATCCCCGTCTTGTTTGGTTTGTTCCTTATGAAGGAGATTTTGTCATAATAAAATTTCAATGTAAACAGGTAAACTTAAATCTTATATCAGTTTACCTACAGGGCCCCATGCATATTTAACATTGTACATGTGCACTGCCTTATTTTACATAAGTTCAATTTGAGTTATACTTAAACTAATTTATCTAACCCATCTTCCTCTTTATCTGGTGTTATGTAATAACTCACCTTTATGCAGCACAGCATTGGCTGGTTTGTTCCCTGCCAGGGACTCCTTGGACAGGTGCTGGTGGCTCTCAGCAAGACACTCTAACTCAGCAAACCTACAACACAGAGAACACATCTGTCTGGTGAGAACAGAGCCACCCTGGGGACACTGTGTGAACACCACCCTCAGTAACCACATCAATCCTGTGACATGATTCCAAGCAAAGAGTTTAACAGTTTCTAACCAACACTTTAATTCTGGAGGTCAAATAAATCAGCATTTTGACATAAACATAATGGCTACATTAGATTTATTTCAGGTTTTTATATTGATTTAATCTATCAAAAATCACCATCTCCACAAAAATAATCATTTTATGAAACAACAAGTAATCTGTTACTCCCCCCCCAATCATGTGCTATACCACCTTAGTCCCTGTGTGTTACCTGGCATTCAGCGCCATGGCTGGGTGGTTGGGGTCCTGTGTCAGGTTGAGGTAAGCTGCTCTTCTCAATTGTTCCTCTATCACTAAGGCTTGCTCCAGAAGCTGAAATAACATGTTACTTGCTGTGACTCTATCTCTCTAATATATGAATGTAAATACTAGTATTCCAGTAATTCATGCTACCTTTACCTTCAAATCTGAGCATCTGACATCTATGAAAAGGTTTGTAGATATGAAATTAAAAGCAAGCTAACCATACCATTCTTCAAATATTTTTCAAAGCAAAACACAATGTTCCATGAAAAGTATTTGTTAGTGCTTCTGAATTTATCACCTAGACCTAAGCAGACACAATTCAGTAAACAGCAGTACCTTAAATCTCCTCGCTAGGAACTTGTTCTTGATCTCCAGGAAGTTCCCCTTACCAACCTCACCCTTGAATGGCTCATTGATGATGGCAAAGCGTACATCATTCTGGATGTCCTGCCAACGCCCATAGCCGTGACTGAGGCCAGGGTCAAGGTCATACAAGTAAAATATGGGTGATACTTACAATTATATCATAACATTATCCCAAAACTTACTGAAGTACAACGAAAATATTCAACTATATCATAGATGTGGGAGAAAAACACACATCAAAGACAATGTCACTGACAACTGACTTTTGATACTGTGGACATATAAATATGTAACTAAATACATTTGGTTTCTGGATCAACAACCAAATAAAACTGAAGTTGGCTACATAAAAAACCAAAGCAAGCCCACAGACCCCACTACCACTGAGATAAGGATACGTCACAATACCAGCCAAGAGCCAGTAATCATGGCGTCTGTGCCAGACTTCGTGTTCTCGTCCTACTGTGAGTGCTCGCTGCTCATTCTGCCACAGTGTGTGGAGTTCTGTAAAACCACCATCTGCTATGTTGAACATGAACTTCTGTTTGGCTTCCTCTTTCTTGAATTCTTCTTCTTTTTCATCAGACTTTTTAGCCTCTTCTTCCTTTGACGACTTCTTTGTTGTTCCATCAGAATCCTTCTCTTCTTTGACTTTAGCATCTGAAATCAAACAAACAAAACTTATTTTTGTTTAATGTTAGTAGAAAGATCATGCATTCATTTTACTTTGTTTCATTCTATTACATGCTATATCTTTAAAATGTCTAATTATACATTGCTTGGCATTTCACATTGTGGCACATGATCATCTTTCACATATACTACATATAATATTACTTACTATACACAATAATTCTGGTGCTGCAGCTTTTTCTTTTTCTGTTGTAGTCTTACTCTTTTTCATGTTAATTAGAAAACCTACCATCTTTCTTCTCATCTTTCTCTCCCTCGGCCTCCTCTTTCTTTAATTCTTTCTTTTCTTCAAGAGAATCAGTCTTTTGTTCTTCTTTCTCATCTGGAAGAAAGAAAAACCCACATGAGGAAAAGTCTAAATTCTTTAGATTACACAAAATATTAGTATAAACATACAAATTCAATTAACAATTGTTAAAAGCCATACACTTTATCGGGCAATAGCACAGTGTAAACCAGTTTCATGTGCTCTAACAATGCTGACCACTACAAGCAAAATCAGTTCATTTTCAAAGGCAGTATACATACAACACTCACACCTGTCATCTAGTCTTATCAATCTCTAATCCTATATGAGGTTGACTCAAAATACCTTTGACATCCTCTTCCTTACTTTCCTCCTTCACACCAGCTTTGCTCTCTTCACTGTCTTTAGATTCTTCTGTTGCTTGGGTGGGTTTTTCATCTGTTTCTAATTTTTACAAAGAATAACCATTTTTAATGACAGAAAAGATGATGCTTACTTTCTGCAATCAAAGAGAAAAGTTACGTAAATTGTCAAAATCAGCTTTCCTGAAGTAAATCATATTTATCTGGTGGTTAACCAATGCCTTTGTGTTGATTTTAGAAAACAAGCTGAACTGTTTAATATTTGGGACTTGGTTCACTTGGTGTGTAAAATGCATATGCAAACCATGCATTGGATATACACTGAGAGACACAATTCTACCCAATGTTTAAGAAAGTACTGTAATGCTGTGAATTGGTATCAGTGTGTGTCATTCATCCCACACTTACCTTTCTTTTCTTCTTTAACTTCATCAGTCTCCATCTTTACCTCCTGGGCCGCGTCTTTACTGTCTTCCTTTTCTGATGGCTCATTTCCTTTCTGATCCGTTTCCATGGCTTCCTCTGTCGTTTCTTTCCCTTCATCCTTGTCCTTAAGATATTGCAAAGTAAGAACCAATAAGCCATTTAACAGTTACCAGTAATTATTATGTCTCAGTTACTTGGGTAAAAGGTTGGTTACTGTAAAGAGACTTCCTACATCGAACAGATTAGTCACACCACATTGCTGTAACCACCCACCTTCTTGTCTCCACTGCCTTCTTTGTCCTCTTCTGTTTTCTCTTCCTTTATTTCCTTCTGGTCCTCCTTCGTTTCTCCCTTCTCCTCTGTCTTTTCTTCCTTGGTAGATGGCGCTGGTGAAGGTACAGCTGACGATGACCTACTTTTGCTGAACTTTTCTATACACTCTGAGGCAGTTTTGTAAGGCATGCTCTCTGTGCCATTTATTGCTTCAAACTCTTGAACCTAAAAGAGGTCAAAGTACCATATAACCATGCAGCCTGGGGCAAATGAATCAATATTATATTTCACATCCTATTGCTCTTCCTTAAAAGCTATAAAACACCTGCTTTTTCTTGTCATTATCCACCTACACACACACACACACACACACACACACACACACACACACACACACACACACACAAGGAT